GTCAACACAATTTCTTTATATACTTTGCAAATAAAGTGCTTTAAAGGGCGCTATTATCTGCGCTCTGATTGCAACAGAATATTCTCTCTCTCTCTCTCTCTCTCTCTCTCTCTGTAGAATTAATGAAATAAATTTAATTCAAACTTATATTATGTGCGGAATATAACTAATGCCATATATTATATAAAGTATATTACAGAATAATAAGAGGCAATGAAAACAAATGCATTATAGCTTTATTATTATTTCATATAATAAATTACTTTTATCTCAAACACAAATGAAAAACCTGTGATATTTCCTAAAGGGTTTGACACCAGAAAAGGCGAAAGAGTATTTGGCTCGGGACGGACCCAACGCACTGACACCGCCTAAGACAACACCCGAATGGATCAAGTTTTGCAAGAACCTGTTCGGAGGGTTTGCAATGTTGCTATGGATCGGCGGTGTCCTATGCTTTGTCGCCTACTCTATACAGGCCGGCACTTTCGAGGAGCCCCCGGACGACAATGTATTATCACTTTTGCCATTTCATTCATTATTTATGAAAACCATTTTTGTTTATCTTTCCCAGCGGTTAATAGTGTAGTAATTTATTATATTGTATATATGGGGTTACCACTAGCTATATCAGAGTTGATGTGACATTGTGAATTAAACATCATGGTGACGCACCGTCTAGATTAAATTATATCAATTAAATTAATGCTATAATTACAGTGATTAATAAATGTTTGCGCTAATTTTGTCTCCCATTTGGTACTGTAGTTATATTTAGGGTGTGTTTTGGTGGCGGTGGTTATGGTGACCGGAATCTTCTCCTACTATCAAGAGGCCAAGAGCTCTAAGATAATGGAGTCGTTCAAGAATATGGTGCCCCAGGTATTCAATCAATTTACATAATTAAAACATTCACATATAGCTAAAAACACTGGTTGTTTGATGCTTGTTTTATACGCATAGAAATTGATTTTACATGCTCAAATTGAATTTTCATTTATTAATATTATTATACAAAGTATTAGTAGTTTCTGTAATTCCGGTGCTTATAAAGAGCTTGTTATGGTGTCTGTGCTGTGCATGTGATACCGAAGTGGCAGTTAATTCCCCTCCAGTGCCCATCAGTTGTGTTGCCTTTTTAGTAGAGAGTAATTCATTGAAAATGCTATGCCTTTAGAGAATTTGCTGGGTTTTTATCATTTGAACCGAAACTAA